CTGTGTCCTCTGCTAACACGTCCTTATTTTCCCACTAGTGAACAACTGTGCTCTGCCTTTGGCTGCCATCCCACATCCCTAGGACTGGCTCAGTTTCGGCTTTCTGTGGGCGATTTGTGGAACACACAAGGAAACAAGAGGATGAGCTCCCCTTGTGCTCCAGTGCTGGAGCTGCCTGGCTCTGGCTGCAGGGCTTTAGGACCCAGGGGTTGCTGAGTGGAGGAGGCTGAATCCCCTCCCGCCGTCATCCTCCTGCCTCTGCAGCTTTATTCCTACAGCCTTCAATGGTGACGGACTCCCTCCCACCCGGGCTGGCAGCCAGAGCCACAAGGCCTCGCTAGGACCGGATCCTGCAGCTCTATGGCATCTCCCAGGACCATCACCATCGTCGCCCTCTCCGTGGCCCTGGGGCTCTTCTTTGTCTTTATGGGGACCATCAAACTGACCCCCCGGCTCAGCAGGGATGCCTACAATGAGATGGTGAGTCGGGCAGCACGGAGGGAGGTGCTTTAGGGCTCTCCTGCCTTTTGGCAGGAGCAGAGGGGGATGCAGGGGGTGACTGCCCCGGAGCCCCGAGCCAGGGGCAGGAGAGGGAAGAAGCTTATCTGGCTCCTTACTTGATAGTCATGGAGAGAAGCCAATAATACGCAGTGCCCAGGATATCCTGGCAGCCATGGGCTCCAGCTGAGCCTATCCACGGAGGAACCTCTGGTGGATAAGGCTGGGGAAGGGAGGCAAGGATGGGGGAGCACAGCACACACAGCCCCCAAAGGATGGGGAGACACGGGTCTCTAAAAGCAAGGCCTGAAGAAGAGCCAGACGTGSAGCAGGCAGGGACAGCTGATCTCTGAGAGGAAACCTGCCCATTGGTGGGGGGTAGGAAAAACAGATGCCTGCTTTGGCAGATGTTCGTCCTCAAAATTCGATGCTTTAAAGCAAGGATAATGACTCTGACTGTCCTTACCTCACCAGACTTGTGCAGGGATTAATTAATGATTGTGAAATGCTTCAAGATTCTTAGCTGGCAGCGGAAGGTATTATTAATAGTTACCTTATTATTCTCTTTGGCCTGGGAAATGAGCCTCTCCTCCTCTTGCCTAAGACCAGAGGGGTGAGGAGAGGACGGAGAAGTCACTGTATCTATTTCTCACTTGGTGAGCTGTTTTATGCTCCTCTCTGCTCAGGGCCAGCCCTGCTGCAGGGCTTTGCCAGCTGCGAGCTGCAGGCAGGTGGGGGACTGGCTGCCACATTTTGCTTTCTCATCTGTGTTTATTTATTCTCCTGCCCCTTCYCTYCTGCCTCCCCAGTTATTTATTGTGRTRGTTGAAATTGTTGGTATAATTTTTGTGMCCCTAAAACAACCGTGCTGGAAGTTTCCAGCACATTCTGCTCTCTCCCTTTGCTCCACCTGCCCAGCTGCTTTTTCTTAGCTCTCAAGTAACATCAGAATTGCAGTGCCTAGTCTGCAGCCCAGCACAGGGATCTCACAGAGGAAAATCCCCAAGAAGTAACTCATGGGCAAGAGACACATGAGGTAAAACCCCTAGAAAATAAAGCTCTTAAGCTTCTGCTACAGAGAAAAAAAAAAACAAACAAAAACCCCAAAACAAAAAACAACCCAGCACACAGACTTTAGAAGCATTGCAAAATGCTTGCTCTGTAAAATATTTCGTTTCTGTGTCCCTTTCTGTTTTACCAAGAGTCAGGCCTACAGGTAGGAATTATCTCAGATTTTGTAGGGAGAAAGCAGGTATTACACAGCACCATTATTCTTCATAGCCCATATTGTTACATATTCATGGCTCATTGGGCTCTCCTGCCTTTGCTGTGCTACATACTGTGGTGGTCTGTCATGTCATGCAGACARTTAGGAAAAACCTGACCTTGCTAATCCATAAGGATGGCTTTTTGCCCCCAGCAAACACAGAACATCTGTTATCTCCCTAAAMCACCAAACTTGCAGTTTTTCATTCAGCAAAAACCACATTAGCTTGTCTATTAAAATACCAAAAATATCAGAGTACTCTAGGACATTCTTATAGTACATTTCTTAAAAAAGCTGTATTTTCCACAACTGTTTAAAAATAGTCTGCTCTGAGGTTTTAGTCACCGATGGTTTAAAATACATCCTTACAATGGATCCACTTGGAGTAAATGTATCATAAGATCTTCAATTATTTTGTAGCAAAAAAATGACAATGCTGGATATTTTTTGGCCACATGTGAAGCATCAGAAGGAAGCATCAAAATCTACAGAGACATGGGGAAGTTCTGTTTGCCTGTAATGTAGGTTTACAAAACCATATGGAAGTAAATCCACAGTCTGATAAGTGCCTGTGWGAGCTGAACAATCTGTACCTGAGATTTGGCTTCCATTTCCCTCATGCTGATTAGAAAACAGAGAACACGGTGGCAAGAATGTCTTCAGGGATATTATACTCAAGTCTARGTGGAAATAATTTCAGTGTCTCACATAATTGGGAGCCTTATTAAAATATATATAAAAGGGAGATATTTGATTGTATAATAAAAAAAGAAAAAAAATCCCAAACAAACCAATAAGCCCATCAGCACCTAAAGTTCAAAGGCAAGAACCTGGACATGTGTAAGGACAAAGGTTGTTTCTTTCCCCCCCAAAATGAGGCAGCTGTGTAAGCAGTCTGAGTCTTGCAACTTATACTGCTCCTAAATCCAGCATAAACCAGGGAGCTAATAATGTCAAAGTCAGCTTGCTTTCACCTGAGGAAAGAAAGGRTCAGAAATGTGTATAAGCACAGATAGGACTGGTGAATGAGCTTTGATGTGTAGTCCCACCCTAAGACTGCACTGCCCATAAACACTGCTGCAAGTTGWTTTGGGATATTGTAAGTTGCTTTGSGGTAGAAAGAGACTTTGGTATTTATTTGCTGTGTCTTGGCTTTGCAGGGATTTGGTGCATTAGTYTATTTTAAAGGGCAAATTACTTTAAGAGAGGGGTTTGTTTGTTTGTTTGTTTGTTTGTTTGTTTGTTTGTTTGTTTTAACAACATGGCTCTGCACTGGTAATTCTGGCAATTAGAACATCAGTTTTCAGGGTAAGGTGCATCTGGCCCAGTTGTAGTTCCAAAGATGGATGTGAAGTTGCAGAACTGTTTTCCAGTGAGGAGACAACAGCTTCTAAAGGGGGAATTGCAGAATGATGGGTTAATATCCCCCCAAACAGAAGTTTTACAGATTGGGTATTGTGCCAGAGGGGCCTGTGATGACTGAAATGATTTTTAGGTCATGTTGCACATCAGTCTGTTTCAATGGAAGTCACCTTTGCCTTCACTTTCTCACATGATGTCCTTGTCTGCTTGATTCCAGAAACGAGCGTACAAAAGCTACGTGCGGGCCCTGCCCATGCTCAAGAAGATGGGAGTGAGCTCCATCCTCCTCCGCAAGAGCATCGGCGCCCTGGAAGTGGCGTGTGGCATTGTCATGACACTGGTGCCTGGKCGCCCCAAAGACGTGGCCAACTTCCTCCTCCTCCTCCTCGTGCTGGCCGTGCTCTTTTTCCACCAGCTCGTGGGAGATCCCCTGAAGCGTTATGCCCACGCCCTGGTTTTTGGGATCCTGCTCACCTGCCGCCTGCTGATTGCCCGCCAGCCCGAGGAGCTGCCACCGGAGAAGAGGATGCTGTCSGTGAATGGGGATGAGCAGCCACTCATCCATGAAGCAGCTCCCGAGAAAGGCAAAATGAAGGTATCCTAGTTGAGTGCATGTGAGGAAACACGGACCCTCGAGGCAGCTCTCTCCAAAATCACCCAGAAAATTTGGTTTTTATTTACCTATTTGCATATTTTTTTGTCTGTCTAAATAAAGTTGCACTTGGGGTCTGAGAGATACAAGGTATGTCTACACTGTAGTCTTGCTTTTGCTGCTGCCCTGTAACGTAGAAAAACACAAGCTAGCTTCCACGGGGACAGCTTGGAGGCAGTCAGCAACCTGGCTGGAGCAGTGCTGGCCTCAGCAGGAGCTGAAAAACCAGACTGAGACCTTGGGCAGACACCTGGATGGGCAGCCAGGCTGCCTTGGCACTGCTGCAGTGGGGAGAGCAGTYCCTGAGTGCCAGCCCTGAGCCCCACGGCAGCAGAGCTGGCCTGGTGCACTGCTGCTGCCCGGAACAGTGGCTGGGCAGGACATGACCGGTGTCCCTGTGCTGGACTGTGCAGCCCCACACACACATCTGCATTTCCCTTTCCATAGTCAAAGGGTGAAAAGGACCCTATTACCAAAAAAGTGCTGTTTGTTGTGCTGGAGAGAGGGATTCCTTAGGCTTTGCTGCCTCTGTGCCTAGTCCTTTCTATAGAATGGTTATCCAGAGAAAATAGGGGATGCTCTGTTCACATCTTCCTTGATTTCCACACAGAGGCTCCAAAACTGGGACAATGGCCTGATAACAGCATTTTTTTGCTTCACATGAGACAGTAGCATTTCTTTACGCTTCTTGGCAGAGTGTAAGGGTCCCTGGAGAGGGGATGGGGAGCAGAACTGCCCAAAGAACTCCAAAATATCTCTCTTATGTTGGCAAGTAGCACTGTGCTCCCGTTCCTTGCGAGAAAAAAAACTTTTTTTTTTTTTTTCCCCACGGCTGCTGTGACTTTATAGAATTGTTGTTTATTTCTGGTAGATGAGGGTCTGAACAATTGCAGGTACCTCACTGCTCATCCCACATACAGCCTCAGTGAGCTGGGATAAGTCCTGTTACCAGAGCCTGAATCCCTGTGTTGTATCTGAAATCTTAGAGTGTCATAAGGAGCATGTGTTACCTCTGAATTATTTGTCTGGTTTTCTTAATGTTTGTCTGTTTTCAGTTTTTCCTTTTTTTTTTTTTTATTTTGTTACCTCTGAATTATTTGTCTGGTTTTCTTAATGTTTGTCTGTTTTCAGTTTTTCCTTTTTTTTTTTTTTAATTATTCACAAAAATAAACTTTTTGAAATTTGGAGAAAAATGTCTTTACAGAAACCAATTTCTTATTTGAGAGACACATCTGAAAGCACTTTCTTGTGGTCAAATACTGCACCTAAAATGGGCAGAATCATGTTAGGCAATTTCAGAGACAAGGTGATGCGGAGTGGAAGTCAGATAAACTCTACTTGGTGATACATTATTAACCACAGATATTTAAAAGAGACATCTGGATTTTTTATTGAAACTGTCTCAAATAAATTTCTGTTACAGTTCAATGTAGCAGTGAGAAAAGGTAACTCCAGTAAACTGTCAGCATTGTATCTCTATGAAAATTGATGATGGATGTTCATATGCAGTTTTCTCCTGAAGTTTGCTGCTAAAACAGATATAGCCCTATATAAATATATGTCTGTATGGTGAAAAAGACTCCTTCCAGAGCTCCAGATGGACTAAATATCTCTTATCAGATGTGCACCCTGAGCAAAAGAACAAACTTCTGTTAGACAATTTCATCTCCACAGACTGTCTCAAGGTCACCCAAAATATAAACAGAATTTGTTTTACTTTCCAAAAGACACTTTAACTACCATRTCCTGACTGRGGTTACTAAAAATGTTTTAATTCAYAACCAAATAAAAATACCACCAACTCAAGCCCACATCATGCTGTGCATTCCTACACAACTGAWCTGCTGCTGCAGCCCTTTCACCCATACATCCAACCCTGGAAACCTTTGGGAACAATTGTTTTGTGACATTCCTCCCTGAAGCTTGTAGAGATAATAATAAAGCATCCCACGGAGCAAAGCCTGTATCTATAAAAGCTTCAGACTGTTCAATGAATACTAAAGAAGTTCCCTTTTATCATATTTGCAGGGATATGAACAACTGACCCGCAGCAGTGGCTGCGTGTTCTTTGTTACAGACCGAGACAACCCATCTTGGAGCCCAGTAACAAGAATTCTGTATTTATCTTAGCGGGCTGACCTCCGTCACTGMCCCCCAGCATTAAACAGCTATTTTTGGAAGCTTCCAGCCATCTGTGCTCGCTGGAAGTGACAAGAACAGACCCACTCCTTCTGTAAGACCTCGATGCTAATTTTTTGTTTTTTTTAATTCTTGCCTTCTGTTTATCCCCCATGCGCTTTTCTATCTCGTCTCCACGCCCCTATTTTTATTCCGGTTGGCCTCACCCAGGAGCCACTGTGTAGAGCCTCGAGTTTATATGTACCTTTTTCCCCCTCTCTCTTTTTTAAAACGGGATCTTAGGCTGGCGTTCCCAGCCCCATGCACACGGAGACCCCTGAGGAGAGGGAGAACTTCCCCTCAGGGGAATTCCCGCCCCGCCAGGCCCGGGCCGGCCCCGCCCCTCACGGGCTGCGCATGCGCAGAGGAGCCCGGCGCAGGAAGGGCGGAAGCGCCGCCGCCATTCCCGCCCGTGACACTCAGTGTCAGCGCTGCGCATGCGCGGAGGGGCGTGAGGGAGCCGGCGCGCGCGGCTGCGGGCAGTGCGCCTGCGCGGGGCGGTGGCGGCGGGGTTTGAACGCAGGGACGGTTGGAGCCGGCGGGAGGCGTCTGTGGAGGGTCAGTGGCYGTGGAATGGTCAGTGTTCATGGGATGGTCGGCGGCTGTGGGAGGGGGTGATGAGTGCCCAGGGCAGCCGGAGGGTCGGTTGTTCTGGAACAGTCAGTGGCCGCGGCAGCGGGATGGTCAGCGGCCTCTAGGAGGGAGTCAGTGCTCAGAGCAGAGGGACGGTTGGTGGTCGTGGATGCCGAGTGGCCAGAGCAGAGGGAGAGTCACTGGGCGTGGCAGGGGGTGGTCAGTGCCCAGGGTAGCGGGAGGGTCAATTGCCCTGGAGTGGTCAATGCCCAGGGCAGTGGCCGGAGAATGGTCAGGGGCCGTGAGAGGGGGTTGTCAGTGGCCAGAGCAGCCGGAGGGTCAGTGGTATGAGAGCAGTTGGTCAGTGACTCCCCCCTCTCCCCGACCCGGCTGTCCACTGGGGGCTGGAGGGCCCTTGGGCCGCCGGGCTGGGCTGGGCCGGGCCGGGCCGGRCAGGCCTCGCCCGCTCTGTCCCCTCGGGATGCTCTGAGCGAGTCACAGTGGGGGCTGCAGGGGAAGGGGGTGCCTGGGGAGGAGGGTGAGGGGGCTGGTGTCACACTCCTGTGYGGCAGTGTCAGCACCGAGGGTCGGCATGGGGCTGGCATATCAGCCAGAACTGCCTTTCCAGCCTGGTACTTCTGCTCTCCTCTTCACCAAACCTTTCTGGCAGAACTCCTGCAGGACAAAAKAAAACAAAACACATATAGAGAAGGTGCTGAGGAAGCTGAGAGAAAGCTGTTGCTGTACTCCAGAGTGTGATCACTGARCTTTGCTGCACAAGAAAGTGACAAACAAACTATAGGGAAATAGAGATTATTTTAACTTTGTAAGGAAGTGAGAGCTGAAGAGGGAGTATGAATTGAAAGTCGTTCTGTTTTATTGTGTCAGGAAAGGTAGGCTCCAGCAATCCAGGGACAGGGCTTCACACTCTACCAAGTCCAGGAAATCGTAGCAAAATTTCCTGGCTTGTGGGTAAAAGGTTGATCTCTCCAGCATACTGAGGAGAAAATGCCACTTTTTGTGGCTGTATTTCACCCAGAGCTGCGCAGTTTGGCACTGTCAGTAGCTCTTGTGCTTTCAAGAAAATTTGAAAGTTTTGCTAACATTCTGGCTATGTTGAGTTTTTTATCAAAATATTATRTAAGATTGTATCAGATAATTTTTAACTTGAAAGGAGCTTGTGTTAATTTTTACTTGGGAACTTTTTCTTCCTTTTTAAGTGAAAGATGAGAGCTTTGATACASTGTTGTTTGTGCATCTTCTGAGGATTTTGTCTGATCTTTAGGGGAGCAGTGAGCTCTAAATTATTTCTTCTGAATTTACTCTTGCCTTATGCAGGATGCCTCTAAAATCTGCTTGCCAGAAAAATGAATGTTTTTTCCTTGCAGAGAACCAGCTCTCTAATGTCCCTCAGCTGTGGGAGGTTTSTCTCTTTTCTTGCCTAATGAAGGATTGGCTCTCATATTACAAATGAGTAAAATTCTCCAGTCTCAGCTGGCAGTCTGAAAGGATGCAGCGAAGACGGAGTTCTAAGACCCCGAAGCAGCCTCTGCACGTTTTCCATAAAAGCCAAACTGATCTCTCTGCGTGGCGAAAAGGAGGGAGAATTAACCCTGAAAAAAGTTTGCAGAATAATCTATCTTCTAATGATCAGAAATATGATAGCCAGGAAAGYTCTCTGGAACAAGCTTTGAGCTACTTGGAGAAAGGTAAGAGCATTTTTAAGGTTGGCTGTCTAGGACTGAGAAGATAAAAACTACATTCTTAATTTACAAAATCTAATTTACATCTGTTTTCCCTCTTTAATCCCTGAGATATGTATTATTTCYTTAATGTCTTACAAGTTTGCTGTTGCTACTATGTAAAGAAAAAGAAATAACATAGAATGGTTTGGATTGGAAGGACCTAACCACCTGCCATGGGCAGGGAMACYTTCCARTAAAACAAGGTTGCTCAGGACCCCATCCAACCTGGCATTGGACACTTCCAGGGATGGGGCAGCCACAGCTTTCTGGGCAACCTGTGCCAGGGCCCCACCAGCCTCACAAGGAAGAATTTTTCCCAATTTCCCATCTGAAYCTTTGTTAGTTTGAAGCCATTTCCCCTTATCCTGTCACTACATGCTCTTGTAAAAAGTCCCTCTACRTATTTCTTATTAAAATGCTACTAATTTTAAAATAATTTTACTTCTTTTTCCCTGTTTAATCCCTAAGCTATGTAATTTTTTATGTGTTAAAAGTTTTTTCTCTCTTTGTTACTTTGTAAAAAAAAGGACTATATGGAGGGAGAGTTCAGAAAAGCCTTAAGTTAATTTCTGTTCAGAAGTTGTTTCATTGTGTGCTTGTCCTATTTGTTTTTCCTAGTTCAAAACCCTGTTGCACTGAAGAAGAACACTGTTCTGCAGAAACACTTGGCTACTGTGGAAAGCACTGCCCTGCAACAAGGGCTGCCCCCTGAAGCATTTGAGATACTGCTGAGTGCGGTGCTCAGTGGAAAATTTGGTAAAGCATTTATGTACTGCTGTTGTACCTTCTGTGAATGTGTCTTTTCCCTTTAATCAAACCTTCTGAGAGAATGTGTTTATGGTACTATATAAAATTAATTCTTCCAGTATGTTTTGGTGTAATTTTCATTTTCTTTTGTTAAGATGGAATCAATTATTTCTCATAATTCTTTGAGGTACAGGTATGTCCTGACTAAATTCCTATACACTTTGAGCAAGGAAGCTCTAAATAATTTTGTTCAGAGGGAATTTTGACCTAAGCTTCAACACCATATTGAAGAACCTGGTACATGAGCACCGTCTTATTTGAAATTGGTTTTTTTTTTCAGTTGATACGGTGAATACTCGTTTATTGAAGAGCCTCATTCCAACCTCAGTGATACCAGAAAGTTCTCTGGTTACAGCTGTGTCTTGGCTCTGTGCCAGCAAATGCTCAAGCAGCATCCAGGTAATTTATTAAGTGTTCAYGTAGTTATTGCTTCTGCACAGGAACCGTAAGAGCAGGTTATTTTGAGGAATCAAAAATCCAGAGTTTTTAATGTACAAGGTCTTACAAAAGATACTGTCGTTTACCAAGACTGGCAGAGATGCCCATTGCTGTAATGGCAGTGGCAAACAAGAAACACCTTATATGTGTCAGTGGAAATACAGCTCCTGCTTGTGTTGTATCTTTGAACTCCTCTCAGGAGGGGTCTCTCCACCAACATTTCTGTGAAATACTTCTGCTATGTAAGGCATCCTTCAACTTCAGTGATGTATCCCTTAGGTTATGTGCACCTTGGTTGTGGCAATGTGACTTAATGTTAGCCGTGTTTTTCATATTCACATGGTCTGCTCAAAGGTATACATGATAGAATCATTTAGATTGGAAAAGATTTTTAAGACCACGGAGTGCAGTCATTAACCTAATGATGCCAAACCAACCATGTCCCATTGATACACAAATAGGGTCCCATGGTTATAGAAACCAAAACCCAGTTGCCAACAGCAGTGATGGGGCCCATTATTTACCTGGTGAATCCCTTGTCAGATTTTCCTAATCTGAGTTACCCTTAAACTGTTTGTCTGTAGGTCTCTGGTTATCCTTGAGAGTGGTGTGTATCCTTACTGATTATGTCTCTGGAGTCGCCTACTGTCTCCTCTACCCTGCTTTAGCMCATCACTTAATGTAATATGGCTTTTTTCCTGTCTGCAGGTGCTTTTTTTAAGGTGGTTGATCACAGTGTTTGACTTCATCGATCACAAGGAACAACTTCATGCTCTCTATGGTTTCTTCTTCTCCTTCCTGCAAGATGAGAAAATGGTAAGGAGAGCTGAAGAACATATGAAACTGACAAAATAAAACTAAATGTGCATTGGTAGTATATTAATGCTAGAATTAGTCTGAAGTAGGTATTTAGAGACCATTTACTCATGGCTGGAACTTCTTGTATTTTCCCTTTGCATTACAAGATTGCTGGGTAGTTTAGATCCATAAGGAGGCAAGTACTGTAAGATTGCTGTGGTCTGTCTGCTTAAAAATGCTTCCAAGAATTGCTATTCTGTATCAGAGTGTGTGCCCATATATTCTGTCTGAATTCCCAAGAGTAACTGTGGTGCAGCAGTCTCTGGGATTGTCAGACATCAGCAGGTRAAGTTTCCTGCTCCTGGGGAGAAACTGACTTGTATACCTTGGGAAAAAAAAACCCAAAGTTTTTAGAGCACTGTTTATTTAAGGRTGAAAAACTAATTGCTGTTCTGCATAATTGATTTGAAATGTAGCTTAAAAGAGAACAAGCATTCAGGCAATTTCTGCCAYATGGCGACTGTAAAACCCAGGAATTTTCAAGTGTTTGGATTCAGTGCTTATTAAGATGATCTTGGYCGTTATGTTAGGTATGAAATTGTTAATATTCTTTCAGTTTAGGATATTTTTGTGGTTAAGACAAACTCCCAAAGTTCCAAGTTATATTTCTTGTAATGTTATTAATGGTTTTAGGTTAACTTTAGTTATAGTCTTTCCATAAAACTGGATTTTAGTTCTTACTGTTTAAAATAGCATTTTCAGGCATGATGGGTCAGTTGGAAAGTGCACCAGAGTTAGTTTGAAACTAATTTAAGACCCTTTACAGACTCTACTGCCATTAGAAGCTCTAAAAATGWATATTGGTTCAAAGGTGCCTTTCCTTTTGAAAATGTAATTGCACTTTCGCTGCTGACCCTTGTAATTTCTAGACCATGTTCCAAAAGAAATGATCCAAGTTAATGAAATRGCTTGGTTACTGTCAGGACTGCTCACAGTGCAGATAAAGTTTTAAATCAAGTTGATATTTGGCACTGTCTCTCTTGCTGGTTTTTGTGTTTCCTGGCTGTGTGTCTACAGCAGCAGGAGAGCTCATGGCTGCCTTTGCTTTGCAGTGCCCCTACATCTGCCACCTGCTCTACCTGCTGACCCGGAAAGAAAGTGGTGAGTCTCACCTGTGTGAGCTGGAGAACCATTTTGTTTCTGATTCTGTTTGCTGGTAATGCCTTTTTTTCCAATACAATATTAGTACAATGATTACCCAACATTGTACTTTTTAAGGCAAGGAAGAATGAGTGGCAATTCAGGCAAAATTTTGTGTGACACTTGCTGAATTGGAAGCCCCTCTCTTAGCCTTATTTCTTATTGGAAATAAGGATGATTCATTCTGCTTACTTTGCCATGACTTTATTAAAAAATGGTTTTTACATAATTTTCCTTAAATGTTTTTAAAATCCTTTATCTTCTTAATTGTATTTCCAGTCAAGCCTTTTCGGATTAGGAAATTGCTTGACCTCCAAGCAAAAATGGTGAGTTTATTTCTRTTCTTGTAGAATTTGAACTGTGGTTAATAATGCACTTTGCAAGACTAATGTCCTTACAGAGTGGAGAAGAGTGGCTGGAYTAGGAATTGTAGGTTTTAGTCTTTGTAGCATCAAAGCTTCACTCTTGCATGTGCATCCCTGATTTTCATGCATGTTTTGTGAGCACATACAATGATGTACACAAAGCTCTGTGTTTTGTGACTAGGTATGGTGAAATCTCTGAAGCAAGGGGCAACTTCATTTATCTATGACAGTCTWTAACTTCCTATTCATCTTCCTTTTGCAAGGGGTACCAAAAATTACTGAAAAATGTGAGATTGTAGAGGACCTTGCTTCCTTTTTTGTAAGAAAAAAGCCATTGCTAYAATAATATGGTTTTTAGATAGCAGAAGACTATTTTTCATAGCTTTGATTGTTACATTGCTTTTCATTAGTTATGACTACAGAAAGGTCTTCAGTCCTCTTCCTATGGTATTTCATTGACCCAATTTCTGTTGTTTCTGTCACTTTCAGTTGTTTATGGTTGCATGGTGACATGTAGCTCTAGAAATTTAGCTTTAACTGATCACTGGGGGTTTTTTTGCTCCTAAAATACAGCATTCAGTTTCTATATTAAGAGCATACCCCACGTTTTCCCTCTTGTTCTGTCATTTGACAGGGAATGCAGTCTTATCTGCAAGCTCTACTGTCACTTTACAAACTTTTCTGCCCGGAACAGGTGACCATAACCCTTCCTGGGAAAATGAAGGTAAGGAATTAGATTTAGTCAATTTGAAATCAGGATTTACTACGGCATTTGTACAGAGCTTTCCATTTAAGCTGTAGCAGGATTTACTGGTGAAGATTAATTCTATTTTTTCTTTTCACTGAGTAAAATCAGGTTTAGATGAGGATTCCTTGCCTTGTGTTTTGTTTCCTCTTCAGCATAATGAGATGATTTGGTATGGAATGACATCTACCTTTATCTTATGAGGATTACTTTAATCCTTCTTTTGATGCTCCTGGTGGCATTGACTTGTTTCACACAATATAAAGTTCTTCAGGAAATAAACTGTCTAATTTGTCAAGGCATTGTTCTATTTACTGACATTCTCAAGTACAAATGACAATGGAAGTAAATAGCTTTGCACTTGGAAAGATTGTGTCATAGGAGAGAGAAAGAAGCAGGTAAAAATCAGTAGTAAAAACCAGTAAAAAGTAGTGAACTGATTTGTCAGAGCCTCAAGGAACAGCAAAAAACTACTCCTCTTTTAGAGAGGCCTATGTATATGCTCAGCCCCAAGTAGAATACATGTAGCAGAACCAGATGTATAACCCAAAAGAGCAGCAGGTGAGACTTAAATTGTGTGGCATTTTTTTTAATGAGTTAGACTTGAGTTTGAGGTTTTTTGTAGATTTTTTAGAACAGACATTTAATTTACATGAAGGCAAGTTGAGTTTCTATAAAATAAAATTTGTTTTATTTCAATCTGTTTGTACTTTTACAYTGTTCTATAAATTTATACTTTGCATTGTGCTGCAGTCATCTGTTGGAGAATTTACATCTGTCAGGCAGCGTTGAGTGTCTCTGTGTGACTGTGGTGCTGTTTATCAGAATAGAAACTGATCTTTCTGTTGCTTTGTCTTAGCCTGGCTTCTTGYATGGATGTCTGATTTCTGTTTTCAGACTTATTTCAAGAGTTCAGAGGGCCCGTGGAAAGCAGCCATCACTGCAGTAAGGCAAAGAAACCAGGGACCCTCTCCCCTGTCCCAGGCAGTGTTTTTAGGCACATCTCAACCTCAGTCACGAAAAAGGGTATGTTGTAGGCCTAAGACACACCCTAGAAGATGCCAAGAAGTGGTTTTCATTATGAATATTGGCTAATAAYGGGAGTCTGGCTTTATTTCAACACTAGAAAGGGGGCAGTCACTATATAGAAATGCAGCAATCTATAATAATGAAAGTTTGGATACCTCTTTTGTAAAACTGGGTCTTTCTGGGAACACTGTTCATGAATGCACCCAACTACTTTGGAAGCAGAGTCATTGCTATTCCTTTGTGTTTCTTTTCCACAGAAATGGAACGCTCAGTTGGTTATACCTGCAAGTAGTACAAACACAAATAACTTAGAAGAGGACAGGGAAAAGAGCAGTGTTGAGTCGTACAGCGCAAATGCGTCTTTTCCAGTGGAGCAGCTGCGCACCTTCCCTCAGCTCCTACAAAACATTCACTGTCTAGAGGTGAGTTTCAGGAAGGTCTTGGTGAATGKTTTYGGAGAYCAAAGGATAATCCTTTATGCCCTGTTTATATTTGAGTAGCATGTGGGCTATCTAGTTTTAACAGAGCATCTAGTCCTAACTAAGGMTGGTGGATGAGTCCTGGAGATGGTMTTGTTGCTGGTAAAAAGATTGGGCATGAGATTCTCTGGCAGTTTACTGATGTAAATACTGAATAATTCTTTCTTTACTTTTTCTCTTGCAGTTTCCCTCCCAGATGGGTTCAGTGCTAACAAACCCCTTATTGCTTCATTACATGAACTGTGTGAAAGATGAATCTATTTACCTGAGGCTCTACTATTGGATGGGCCAGATGCTCCAGGAAGGTAGGACCTTTAGGATTATCTTGTGGGGTAGGGAGGTAAAGGATGTCTGAGGCTTTTCACTTTTCACTAATGCTACTTTGCTATTCAGATTTATCGTGATGACCATATAGTGTTAAAGCAGCTACTGGAAGRGAACTGAATTTGGTTTCTCATTGTTCTTGCTGTGCTCGTATTCAAGTACAGTATTCTCTCCTGTTCAGAATGCACCTGGTGTGTGGTTGATAACCCAAATGAAGAAGAATTCAAGAGCTTCCTGGACACTGTCTACAAGGCAGAATGTTTCTTGCAGGTAAGTGCATGTTTTGTGGAAGCCAAGGTTTTCACAAAGTCTTCCCTCAAAGAACTTCTGGGACTTACCTGTTTCCTGTAGTAATTCTGAGACAGTGACTCAAGCAATAAAAATACCTGTATCTATAGCAAGTCAATGTTCTGGAAATGTCCTTGTGTTCTTCCTGAAAATAATCTGAGAGTGATAATTTGAATGTCCTGGCAAGTTGCATAGCTGGAAGGAGGTGCAAGCCTCYTCAGTGATGTGAGCACAGCAAGTTGCAGTCATATGAGATAAATCTTTGAATGCTTCTCTTCTCCTTTGTAGGAAGGACTTGCTGACTGTGAAGAGTTCCTGTATAGGACCCTTCCTCTCTGGGATGGTGTCTGCTGCCGGTCAGAAGTCCTCAGACTTGTGAGTTGGATCCCCCTCAGCAGTGTCTCTGGTATGTGCTGCAGATCTTTGGGTGAGGTTGGACAGTGGGGATATCTTGGGACATAGAATTTGTGTACTGATATCATACTGCTTTCTCATTTATTTCAGACATTAAGTCAAATCTCTATGATCCACTGGCACAGCTTTTTTACACATCATCCATTTACTTTAAGGTAATTTAAGTGAATACAATGGCTATTTGCTTCTAGTTGATACTGCTATCTGCACTTGTGTTAGGTGTAGCAGTCTGAGGAATTGTATAGCGAACTTCGTTTTGAGAAGTCTGTGCCCAAACAAGGGTAAAATATACACCTACAGTTTCAACTTCTTTAGGAAATTGGTGCCTTTAAGAGATCTTCTGTTTTATATTAGAATTAAGCTGGGGCACTGGACATAAAAAGAACTGATGGCACACAGCACAATTGTTTGTTTGTTTTACTGCAGTTTTAACTTAACTCACTATTTGAAACTCGCATTTTTCAGGAAAAGCTATATAATACATACATTCAATTCTAGGGGACATGCAACTATGTCACTGCTCCTGAGAAGCTCCGGGTACTTTTCCTTAGATATGCCAACTCTCATGGCATTTTTGGTTTAGAATTATTTGCTTGCATAAATTGTCATCAACGTGACTTCTTTTGGCTTTTGCAGTGCAGCGTTCTTGAGACCCTGAAACAGCTGTTGCAGAACTGGTTAAATTGCAATGYGATTCAAATGGATTCAGAGTTTTCTTCCTTGTAAGTTTGCAAACCATGTTCTGTGCATTGCTCAGCAGTGTATTTAGAAGTTTATTCTAGCCCTAACACACAGCATAAAGACCAGCTGGAAAGTTAATAATGTTATGATTCTGCTATATTGTTAGCTATCTTGTCAGTTCTGTTCTTTGTCTTTCTTTATTTCTGTTGGATATTGGATATTGAAGTGTCCAGGATTCAAAATCCTCATAAACCTGACAGTTGGGTGTTTATTATGGTGCTGATAATAATACATTATTGGCTGTATTGAAGAACAAGAGTCTGTTGCTGAGTGTTTGATGGGGCAAAAGCATAAACTTTGATTTTGTTTTACCATTTTCCATGCCGCTGTTTGCAAAGAGGTATCTGTACTGTTGTGCCATGTGTTTGCTGCAGGAACACCACCCTTTCTGGGCTAGTAAACGTGGTGGCTGAACTGGTCCACTTTGTTGGACGGATCTCTACTRTTGCACTGCGTTTGGAAAACAATTCCACGTTCTTGCTCTACTTCATTCTGGATTTCTATGAGACCGTGTGTATCCCTATTGTTTTGTCTTTCTTTTGTAATACTACTAAGGCTGTTTGCATTTTTTTTAAGCTAGAGCATAAAAACATCTCCTCATTGTAGTTTAAAAAACTCCATCATTAAATCCAAGAATATTCCAAATACTTGGTAGATCTACAGGTRAGAGCTGCTGCTATTGCATCCATAGGGAGAACTAAATAAGCTCCTAGAAAGTGGTTGCTCTTAATTCAGAGGTGRACTGGGGAAGAAGTAACAGTAGGACATAACATGCTTTTTTAATGCTGACTTAAAGAAAAGAATAATGATCACTTCAATTTCAAACAGTATATCTTGTTTTTTTCCCTTCAGTGTTTCCTTAAAAATGTGGGGTTTTTCCTAGTTTGTGCTGTAGGCAAACTAAATAGCATTAAATAGCTTTAAGTCTATTCTCCAGCTTCCTCATGTCCTCTCTGTATTTGTGCTTACTGTGAACTCCAGCCATGCTGTAACAATAGCAACAGCTCTTACAATTTAGGTTGGGAATAGTAGCAAAAACAGTGATGGTTCTGGGATCTATTTGTAACTAAATTGTCYGTTAAAAATGCACAAGTCTAATGGGTTTTGCAGAAGACACTCTGGTCTTCCCTTCTGAATGAAGTTGATGGATCTGGCTAGAATGCAGYGCCATGCTCTCTGTTTCTCTTACCTCCTTGAGGGTCTGTAATAAWGATTAATTTTGGCAGTAATAATCAGCCTGGATGTGCTTCATTCCTGCAGGTGTGTGACATGTACCTGAAGTACAATCTGCCTTTGCTGATAATGCCTCCTGCTGGGGTTTTCTACCCAGCACTGCTCTGCATGGATTCTGTCAACTTGAATCAGCTCTGCTACATTATGTACAGGTACTACAACAGGTGTGGGCTGCAGGGACTCCTTGTCTTCTCTTTCAGTCTCTTGGAAATTAAATTACTTTGTTGTAAAATCTGGAATCTACTTCTTGCCATGCAAGGCGAAAGTTCTACTCGTGCTTTCATGATAAAAGATTTTATAGTTGTAGTTCCTATCCTTTTTTTCAGTCTGTTATCCAAAGTAGCAGGATTCTGACCTCTTTCCCAGTATTATTTCCATATCTTTGGTATGTAAAGGAAGAATTTCCCCTGTTGTTTTGAGAGAACTAAAATCAGCCAGCTGGAATGAACAGTATAACTCTACAACTTCTACTCCTATGCTTTGACTATTACACCTGAGCTTTTCCTCAAAAGTTCTGCCTTGTGCTGAGTAGGGAGCACTTCTTCCACCTCCAAACTCCAGGAACTGGGGACTGCCCTGGGGACTGTGCTGCTGGCAAGGCCAAAGACAGCACTGTTTATTGCTCTGCARGATCCACCACCAAGGCTGCACTTCTTGGCCTTGTTAGTTCCGGTGGCTGCATCTGAGGAGAAGAGTAGCCAATAGCTGACAGCTGGTGCAGGGCTCTCCATGTGGCTTTTTCTCTAAGGAATCTTCAGGGTAATTAACATGACAGGACGGTCTCTAGGAAATAAGAGGAGCTAGTGCTTATTATATAGAACAACTGTCAAGTTGCATTACTTCCAGTGGCTTCTGTTTCTTTGCTTAGTGAATGAAAGTCTTCCTTCTTAAAAACACACTGCATTTCTCTGCTGATTTTAAGGYTGGATGTCCATTCTTGTGTGTTGCCTTTATGAAGGTGACTCTCCCAGTCAAACCGGTCATGTTTGAATCATTTAAGAAACTAATTGTATTAGATGTGTCCCTACTCTGCCAAGGGATAAAGTCGCTTTGAATTCTTTTTCATGTCTCTCTTTTTTACCAATAAAGTTTGATGATCTTTCTCATGGCAGAAACAAGTTTTCTTGATACATTCCTCCAGATTTTTTCAACACAGGCATGTAGTAAAAATTTACAAGCCCTTACTTCCTCCTTTTTGTTTTTTTTTCAGGTATCGAACCAACTTGGTGGCTGCAAAAGAAAATGAGCTGAGTAAAAAGGTATTGTGAACACATCYGTTATGTGCTAGAAAGACCTTTGCAAGGAATTGGGTTGAGTGGAGGGGAGGAGTACTAATGACCATTTTTTAAGKACTTGGAGGGAGTGCACAGCTGCTTTGAGGATGTTATTTATTGATTTGTTTTTTTCCCCTCAGAAAATACTKCAGTTCAAGTTCAGTAACCAGACATACCAAGAGTACAACCAGTACATAACAGCTATGGTGGGCTGTCTGTGGACATCCAGTGTATTCCAGAAGGATATTCATCCTCAAGGTCTTCGTATGGATGATGAACTGCTGAGTAAAACTGCAGTGAAGGAATTAAAAAACAGCTTTAACATTGTCTACCATCCAGCCATGATGGGCTACTCTGTTCACTTCCTGCAGCAGGTAATGGTGTAGGCCAAGATTGGGGCACCAGATGTTCTCTCTTGACGGTTTCTCTAGAGGTATCTCTGTGTCSTGGCTCACTTGGAGAGGCAACTGAGCTTTCAAAAGCTTCTGTGGCATTCTGTGTTTGTGTCAGATTAATGGCACAATTTGAAGAGTCTTTGTGTGGTATGAAAGCAGTTCAGTGTATGACTGTAGCAGTTYTGGATGTGAATTTTTACTTATGATCATTTTGAGATAGAACTAAAATAGCTAATTAATGAAATAAATGAAAATTCAGTAAAAGCTTACCAGAGATTCATCCTGCCCTACAAAACAGTGTGATCTAAGTATTTAAACTCTGGAAAATCAAGAAACCCATAGTTAACAGTTAACAGCTGGTCATAGAATTTGTTAGCGGTGCTTTCTGGCTCTTGTGGTAGATTTTGAGTATGACTTWTTAAAACAGAAATACAAGTAGCTGCTTCAAGCACAGGGGTAAGATAACATGGTGCTGTCTTGTGTGGTGTGAACTCTGCCAGGAGTTGTCTTGGACTGTGGGTGCCATCATGTGTTCACTGCAGCTGCTGAAAAGTGGAAGGAGCAGCCTGCCAGAGCTGTTATTGTTCCAAGATATGTGAGCTGCTCCAAGAAGCCAGGTTTTGTGGGCTGTCCAAGGGCTGCACAAAGATGCCAGTTTGTTGTGACAAAAGCTGGCAGGCTCGAGGCAAGCGTAGGTGTAACTCCTGGAATGTGGCAAGGGGCACCTGAGAAGTTGAAGCAAAGAATGCTGCTTAGGAATACTTGACAAATTTGCCTTTGTTTTGTGTTCAGTGTCCTGAATCAAGTTAGTTTGTGTCTTATTGTTGATTAAACCCAAATTTGGTCTTTGCTGGAGGAGGCTATTTTGGTTTTGTTAGACCAAGGAAAAGAAGTTGTACATATCTCAAATATTCTAATTTTTATTTTGAGGCTTCTTGGAATCATGGAATATCCTGCAATAGAAGGAACCCACAGACATCATAGAATCCAACTCCTGCCTCTGTAGAGGACAGCCCAAGAATCCCACTCCGTGCCTGAGAGTGTTTTCAAAACATTTCTTGCAYTTTGTCAGGCTTGGAGCTGTGACCACTTTCCTGGGGAGCCTGTTCCCGTGCCCAACCACCCTCCTTCCAAAAGGAGGAAGACCTTTTCCTAATATCCAACCTAAACTTTCCCTGACACAGATTCCTAATTCTTCTTTGTAGGTTTTGCACATAAACAAAACAAAAACAAACTACAAACCAACAACCATAAAACATAAACCAAAAAATACCCAACCTCAAAATCCCTTAAGAAACCCCCCAAAACCTTCTGGTTGGAAATTTTTGAATTGTCTTCCTACTGTAGAGCTAGGAGAGCTATTGCTTAGCAGCTATGACCAATATACTTCAAGGCAGGAGAAAATAATGTTGAGCTGCAGGGACACAGCAGTGCTGAGCACCAGAGGGCACTGCTCTGCAGCACAGGGGAGCACAAGCACTGATTTCAGTGTCGGTTCTCTCCTCTTGTTCTGTCTCATTGTTGGGAATTTCTAACGTTTTGAAAGGGAAACTTTTACATAGTGGAGAGACGATGGTAAAGATACCTGTGAATATTYCCTGTTGCTATTCTGTAATGCTGCAGCACAGGGCAAGAGGGTCCAGATGTTACCTTGCCACTTATGCACTGAGTATAATGCTGGAAGCCCCCTCTGAAGCAGGATTAAAAATCTCTGCATTTTTTTGCACACCTGCAAATTCCTGATTTAGGAGGGAACTAAGCAGAGACCCAGAAACTCTGAACATACTTTTAATCTGACTTGATGTTGTTTTATTCCCTCTCCTTAAGGCTTGTCCTGATGATACCACCTTCAACTTCAGATTTATTAAGGTAAGATTTCTTGTTTTAATAAACGGAAGCAGGCATTTTTCAGCAGCTGTATATAAGAGAATGAGGTGGTAATATTCACCAAGTCCACAAATGTTCTATAAAAATTTTGAAAGGGAAAAATTCCACCTGCAGGTTTTGATTCAGTCTCTTAACAGGGCCAAACAAGAAGACATCAACACTTACCTATCTAGTCACCTATGGTTAATGGTTTGAGATTTTACATCTTTCCTTCATGAGTCAGTGCARTATCAGGACAGGGCTGTTTGTTGTTCTCTTCAGGCTCCTGAGAAAGTGACATTCTTGCTGCACTTAAAAAATTAATTGATAATACAAATCCTGCTTCATATTATGTYTCTGAGACAGATAAGTAGCTTTGTTACAGCTTTGAACAGGAATCCTCCACTGAGCAATACATTGGCAGTWGGTTTTCCTTTCCTGTATCACAGCATGCTTCAAACCTGATCTGGAGGAATCACCACTAGTCATGGAAGGAAGATTTTAATATCCATGTTCATTTAATTTGTGATCTAATAGGCTTTGCTCTTTCTAGAACTGGTTTATAAAAGTTTATATAAACTTYCACTATTAAAGAAAGATGATGATTCAGTCTAAGAATGTGTATTGTATAATTGTGGGCATTTGGGAATAGGAGGTGACCCTGTGCACCTGTGGGTTTTTACAGATGTCAAACGTGGATGCTGTCACACAGGAAGGCAGTGTTTGCAGACCTTTTCAATTAAGAAAGGTAAAGCTTAAGAAAGGTAAAGCTTTGTTCTGCACATCTGACTCTTCTTTTTGGTTTACAGGGGAAGAAGTGGGACTGGTATCTGGAATATCTCTATGCTCAGGGTTTGAAGGGGCTGAAGGTCTTTATTGAGAGCAGCATCAGTCGTGTTTCCCAGGCCGCTCGCAGTAAAGCGGAGAACATGCAAATGTGACTCTGGAATTCACCGGAATTGTCATCTGGAGCAGACCAGCAGACTCTAAAGGACTGTGYCACTAATTCTTCCTCAGAGGAAAGAAACAGATCAATTACCCTTATCTCCACTTTTGTACTGACATCTCTCTTATGAAAATGAAAACACAGAAGGGTTGTTTAGGCTGGCTTGGTTCACTGGCACTGAACTCTCTCTTGTCCCTGCTGAATTTCTTTGGTCTGAAGCTGGTGAGCTGTGCTTCTATAACATCCACCTTTTTTACCCTAGTGTTTCTCTGTTGGAGTATCTATTTTGATTGAGAAACAAACATTTTCCATCTCAAAACTGCATTGAGCAGCGCTGTTTTATAAGTAATGCTGATCCTTGACCTGCTTTGTCTTCCTCAACAGCAGGTAATGAGGAACAACTAAATCAACTCAACAACTGAACAAAGCCTTTCAGGGATGCTGTGTGTGTATTGGATTGGAGCAGTGTGTTTCCCAATCCCCTGTAAATAGTRACTTTTAACAGGCTGACCAAGCTGACCTTCCTGAAATAAACTTTCATTTTGRGGCTTCCAGAAAAGACTTTTTGCTAGCTTAGGTTATAATGAATTTCTAATTCAGCTGGAAAATTTGATGTTCAGTTGATGGTTTATTGATTTGAGCCACCAGCTGACTGTTTTCTACTCAAAAGTACAAATGTGGCTTCCCTTTCTGTGTTCTTAGCTCTGTAGGTGTTGTGTATTATATGTGTACATATATATAATTTATATTCTGTAACATGTTTCCAATGTGTTACTTTGTAAAAAACTGTTCTACAAAATGCATCTTCTCCTGTCATTTTATTTTACCTCTGAGTATAAGCTGAGAGAAGCTGAACTGAGGTTTCCAAAATTTAAATGAACTTTATTTTTCTGCTATAAAGCAAGGTTTTAACCACCGGTGAGTTGGGTTAGATTATACTGAATTTTGCATTGTTAATCTGTACTTTGACTCAGTAAAGGAATCAGTCCTGAGAGCAACTCTGGAGCTACTAAAGATGTTTGCTTTCTTCATTTCCTCAAAATCAGACTGGTTGAGTACCACAGTTCTCAGCTCAAGTACATYTGGTTAATATTTCTAAAGTACTGCCCTTTTTCATCCATCTGTGTTACTCCAACTACTCTAAGTGCTGCTTGATAATTTTTGTCAAGAGAAACAGATTTTCAAAACCCTGATTATATTTCTTCAACAGAGGAAAYTCCAGCTATTACAAATTCCTCCAAGTGGATATGTTTCAAGATGTAACACATAACGAGTTTTATAATTTTTCTGTGAAGYTACCTTCAAAAAAGTGTTGGAAATGCTATTTCCACTTATACTGGAAAGCCTGTGCACTGCAGTCCCTGAAGACAGYTCAATCCTTAGTTTTTGTCCTTATACCATGCAGGTGTCTTCAGATGCTGACCAGACTCGTACTTCCACCCTGGGATTCTGTATAGGAATAAGGCTGGAGTGATTCCATGGGCCCACTGACAGATGTGTGCATGGCAGCCTCATTCAGTGGGGAAAGGAGCAGATGCAGGACATCTCCAAGAAGCAATAGCCAGGAAGACAAGGCTTCCTGTCAGCTGAGTGCTGCTTGGAGTTTGTGGAAGGTGCAGAGCTCTGCCAWTCCTGTCAGACTGGCAGGTGCTGCCAGAGGCTTCATTTCACTTGTGAAAGATGCCCACGTTCTTAARAGAGTGTGTGATGTAGGTAAATGTATTTAAAGGAGCTTATAACAGAATCCTTTAGGATATACTGAATATTTTACAGTTAATGGTCCCTGAGATCAGCTTTTCCTTGGGGTTGGTGTTTGGTTGAGAAAACACAGAATCATGTTCTGGAAGACTTGCAGCATCACAGGTCTTTTTATTATACCCTCTGTTATGAAAGCAGACKATGCACAGTTTTGACATTCAAGTGCACAGGTTGGGCACTTAGGGGTGCACAACTACAGCAATAGGACAGATAACCTGCTAGCTTGCTTTTAATGTCTTTTTTGTTGSACAAGATACCTGTTTTACCATGCGGCAAAGATGTGCCTGGTATTACTGGGCACTAGAGATGAATTTTAGCCTCTTTATGCTGTGGTAATTCTTGTCTTTTTTGACATTTGGACATTTTTCTTCTCTTTTTTCCTCTCTAACTATTTGACTAGTATTGCACTTGAGTGGAAGAATGGCCSTGTTAGGGAGGAATGTGCTACTGTACCTTTTCTGTTTTCTTTGATTTTTTTTCCCTGCTTGCTTTTTGCATTTGAATCATCACAGCAAATTTTGCAGACCATTTTCTATTAAAAGCACATGCTTAAAGACTTGGCTGACCACAACTTCTGCTCTGAGGACTAAAATGGACACAGTCAAGATCCATCAATTTCCTGGTAAGTAACAAAAGAGTGATTTACGTCTCATGCCTGTTTCTGCCCATTTTAAGGCAGGTGGACACTATGAAACTGGAGCAGAAAGAACTCTGTTGTGTTATTTGTCACAAGGTTTCTATAGGCTTTTSATTTAGGGGTTTTGTAATATCATAAGCAAGGCCATGGCAGTGGCCATTTCAATTTAACCACATCCCATAGCATTGCTAGGAGCCTTTTAACTGATTTCAAAAAGTGAGGCCTCTCCCTTTGGAAAATTCTGAGTGGGTATTAAATAGGATTTCAAAGTACYGGGCCAGAATCCTGTCTGGGGTATGCATCCACTAATTTCTAATGGATCTGTGTTGAGTTGCACCAGCTAAACATCTGGTCCACAGTTCACAYAACCAAAGCCCTTAACCCCTCCCTGTCAGACACAGTGAGCATTATGCATCTGAAAATCCAAATGCCTTGGGCTAGAGTTAATCCGAATTCTTTTTCTGAAGCCATGTTTCCTTTGTGTTTCTGTTAATCATYATTTTATTGTGTGGTGATAGACTCCTTTGTGCATCTCAATGCATCAGAGTCCATTGCTCTTTCAGAGACAGCTTGCTCTGAAAGAGTTAAWAATTTCAACCTGTTTTCAGCTGGAATGAAGAAACTGGTTCCTCTGTATCCCTGCTTTCTATTCTTTTGTTGGCCTACTTCCCTCTGCTTGCATTTTGCATTCCTAATGCCATGAATAAATCAGGACCCAAGGATTTAGAAGGTGGTACAGCTGTAACCACTCAGAAAATTGAATCTGTGAGGCTTGTACTGCAGCTCTAACAACTGCCAATATGGGTGCTCYTGGACTCTTTAGTAACATTTAACTGTTACCAAAATAAAATTCCCTTTGCCTTTTTTTTTATGTAATGTTTGAGATTTTTGTGCCTCTACCCAGTGTCTCCTCACTTGGTTCCCTTTGTCTTTCAGGCAAAGCTCAGTTGTAAGCCCTCTAGGGCAGGGTAATCACCTCCTGGCTGCTGTGACAAAATGGCTTATCACAAATCTGTGCACAGGGGAGGCAGGAACAAGGGAAACTGTGGGATCTGACCTGGCAAAGGGTTCATTTTCAGAATCACAGCACAGTGAAACTCCTGTCTGGCTGTTGTCCTAGATCTTCTGATAACTTGTCATTAATAATACACACTGGGCTGATTTGTAGCTCTGTGGCTCTTGAGAGAGTGTGTGAGGGAGCTCTTTATGTGCTCTTTAGTCAGAGGATGTGTCTAGTCTGGGTGAAAAACAACAGATATTGGTAAAATGCTTACTCTGARTGATGAATAYCTTGAAAGAACAAAGTMTTCAAGTACTTCCTTCCAGGAAAGATGATTTATGTTGTATCCACGTGTTTCCCTCATTATGGGTCTGCTTTTTAAAATGAAAATAACAATTATGGTCTGATGAAGGTTGGATTTCACCAAACCTTGCTTCTGACCAAGAATGCCTTTTATGTCCTTAGCATTTGGTGATGGGGTTTTGGGCACAGGATTCCTGAGAACAGTGTCTTGCTGTTGGACCTGTCCAAGTAATTATAGTTGGCAAGGGAGGTGTTGAAGAACATAAATAATGYTCTGCAAGGTGTGTATCTTGTGAGGATGCCTCTCTGCCTCTCAGCTTCCTGTCTCGTAGGAGTAAAAAGTCTGCATAACAGAGGGTAAGATTTTTTTTTCAAAGGCTTTAATCTCCGGGCTMGCTCTTGCACAAACGCAGAAACTGAAACAGTTGATCTTCAAAAAGGAAAAAAAAGCTGCAGGTACCTACACAGGCTTTAAATACCATTTTAACCTTGACAATGTTTGGAAATCTGTAGGCTGAGGYGTGATCCCATTCTGCAGCTTAATGAGTGAACATGCATCAGGCAAGCTGTGGTACCTGCCAGAAACGTGACACAGGAAGGGCTGTTCCAGCACAGCCTCACTGATGGGATATTTAAGGCACTGTAACGTGGCTCAGCTCCTGAGCTTCAGGCACTGGGTTCAGGCTGCAAATTGCAACGGATACTTTGAAAAATTTTACTCTCTGCCCAAATCCTTTGGGCTTTTCCTTTAAAGAATTCAGGGATAAGCTGTACGTATATCCCGATGTGCAGCTCATCCCCGTGCAGTTTGCCTCGCTCTCCTCCAGCGTGTGCTGCCTGCGAGTGTGATCTCTGCAGGAAGAGGCTGCTCTCTGCAGGTCTCCTCCAGGCCTGGAACATCCCCATCATGGCTTGCTGTACACGGATCACTAAGCAGTTTCCTTTCTCTTAGGGCACCTCTGTTCTCTGTCCAAGTGAATCTTCAGCAGCTCCTGTGTGATTGCTTCCCTGCTCCTTTGTGTGCACGGCCCAGTAAATAAGGAGGGGGATGGAAAGCACATTGAGAACGTGTTGACAGCTTTTGAAGAACAAAACGGCCCCTGAAAAGTGCCTTGTCTGCCTTACCCTCCTCTCCTGCATGGTTTTGCTTTCTTTTCTACCATTTTCTCTTTTCTTTTTCCATCTTTTCTCCCAAATTCTTTTATAYTCTCTTGATACCCACTCTCTTTCTTTTGGTATTTACTGCTCTGAAAAGATTTTCTCCCTCCCCTATAGCTYCTATTTCTCATTTGGGGAGATTGTTTCAATGCCTGTGTGGGAACAAATGAAAAGGAGGGGATTCATTCTGTTTCTGAGTGCATGACAGCTGTCTGCTTGTATCAGTTCTCTGCCCATTCTTCTCTCTCACCCCAGGTACCATGTGTTTAGAAAGTACCCTGCTGCTTTTCTAAATGCTTTCAGCAGGGTAGAATMTCTTCTGGGAAGGTTTTTGTGCTTATTGATGCCAGCAGAGGAGGCGCAGTTATTTATTTTATATCAGTTATTTAACCAAAACAGACAAAGCCCCCCAGGATGGTACAATACCCAGTCAGCTATTCTTCTTTTCTTMGGGTCCTAATTCTAGTTTTGTTCCTTCTCGTTGAAGAGAGGCGCTTTGTGCTCTGCTCCCAAGCCTGCTGGCCTGTCTAATGTACTGGAATTGATGGGCAGGTCTGTCCCTTTGTGCAGGCTCTGTTCCTCTGGCTTCCYTTCACAGGTGGGCACAGCACAGCCACTGAGATCACTGATCCTGCAGCAAAACAGATGCTGCTCTTTGGATGTGGGCAGCTGTGTGAGAACCCAGCCTGCCTGGTGCTTCAGTTAGGAGGAGACTCAGATGAGGGAGCCCCATGTCTGAGGAAAATGGATTTGTAGGGTCTCTGGGAGAAACTGGATTTCTTCAAGCCATAAGGGACCTTGTCCTGGCTCACAAGCCTTTCACCAAACTTTTCTTCAGCAGATGGATCCACAAGGACTGTGGGTGTATGGCTCTAGGGAAAGTGCTCTTCTTTTTGGTTTCATCCTGTATTCACAAGGATGAATCTGCATTCTGGGCTCCTGGCTAAAGCATCATTCCCTAAAATACTTTATTTGGGATAAAATGATAAATTTGAGCTTTACTCTGAAAGGRAAAGAATGTACCAAAGTTTCCAAAGGATGGTAACAACACTTCCTTTTCTGTACAAGAGGGATGATCCTTCTCTTTCAGGAGATGTGATGTTTCAAAGGAGGGAAGAGAGATTGCMCATTTTGGGAACCAATT